CCCTCTGATAAGCCATTCGATTCCCCCTCTGTCTATGGGCTGAGGCAGCCGCTGCCCCGAGAGCATGCTCGGTACTTGCGGTTGAGACCTAGCTCCTTCTCTCACCGTAGTCACAGGCTTTTCCCACTGACCTTCTAAGTTATCTTTGGCATTCATGGGTTGAGAAGTCTGGAAACTGCCACAGCTGCCCGTGATTCAGTCCCCTGAAGCCTGCTCCAGGGTTGCTGCGGCCTGCATGCCCATGCCAAACTGCGCTCCTCTCCCAGCCTGGCTCAATATACCTTTCAGGTATATCTCGATCAACCATTCAGGATGTCTTGGGCTGGAAATTTGTTTCACTCTGTCTTTTTGTGGGTTCTGCTGCTTTAGAATTTGTTTAGAGCCATTTTTTATAGGTATTTGGAGGGGTTTGGGGGAGAGCTTAAGCAAGTCACAGCTTTTACCAGAAAGTGCTTTTAAAACTGCAAAATGCTCTGAAAATGTTAGCTGCTGTTATCGTTTTTTGTTTGTTTTCAGATCAGGAGCACCTGGATGAGGAGATAGAGAAACTCCGGAAACACCTGAAAGGGAAGGTCAACCGTCTCCTGGAAGCCCAAGGTAGGTAGTTTCTTAGCAGGGACAGAAAAGTGGGAAAAGCCAAAACCTAAATCCTCACTTGGCATGAATGTCAGAGGTTGGAGTACAACAAGTGAATGTAGGCATCCGGAAAGTGAAGAAGAGGGGCATAGTGGATTGGCACATGCCAAGGGCCTGGGCCAGTCTGAACTCTTTACAGCAATAATCTGTAGTCCCATTAAAGTTTCCTCATAGAGTTGCATTCTCCCATTGGTTACCAGTCACTTTGAATTAGCTCATGATAAAAATTGAATCTAGGAGCGAGGGAAGGCACATATTATGACCCAGGGGAAGATCTTTGTGACCTAGGGTGAGCCCAAAACTGGCTCCTCTTCCATAGCAGTGATTGAAGTATATGAGTGGGCAGGAAAGCCCTTGAGATAAATGGGGAAGAGTCTGTGAACTCTTAAGAATCTTTCCAAAACCCAAGAGAAGTGAGGGAATCATTGTTGCCTAGTTAGCATGAAACTGTTTGTGCTTAGCTTTTCTTATTAGACCATTAGCCCCTCCCACGACAGTGTGTAGAAGCCAAGTAATCTCTTTTTTTTCCAGCTAAAATGCGGTAGGACCAGCCAGTACCTCCTCTACATCACTCTTATATCTTTGACCTGATGACTTGATTCTCCCCCAGGTAAACCAGAGTTGAAAGGATTTAACCTGAAGCCGCTGAGCCAGGAGGAGATGAGAGCCCTTGATGTCATCTTGAAAGGATGAAGTTCTGCAACCAAGGACCGGCATGGGAACTTAAACCATTGACCCCCAAATGTCCACAGAAGAACCGCTTCACAGCCATGACGTTAGGGTATAGTAGGAACTAGCTTCAGAAATCTATCAGATAGCAATTTGCTACTGAAGACTATTGTTTACAGGATTTGGCTGCTCTATTAAGGCCAGGAACCTACAGCCTGTTGTTATCCACCCAGGATACCACCAGGGTGGGCCGAAACACCGGGCCCATTGATAGTCCTTGGAGAAGATCCAGGATGAGAGGCTGGGGCAGCAGCAGTGGGAGCGTTAGAATGACTGCCACAGGCACTTCCAACAATGTCCTGCTGTCTGGGAGGGTGCAAAGGTTTTTCCTTTGCCTCAGACCCACAGTGTGACTATTGTTCTAGGTCTGGGGAAGGGAGTGGGAGAGAGTGAGCACTTCATTCCAGCATAACCCCTCCCTTCCCTGCCCTGGCTGTGGGGAAAGGATGATGAAGAGAGACTTCATAGGATGATGGCGAAGCTCAATGGTGGTTTGTGGTAGACAGGAAACCTTCTGTATTTGTGGTTCACCATGAAGCTCATGCAACTAGTGCTGAAGACAGCGCACATTTCCCAACAGCTCCCCCTTTTCAGTCCTTTTCGAATTCTGATTACATCAGAGCTTTTAATAGACTTGTTAATATCTTGTAGATCAGACTGAGACTTTGTCTCCTAAACCTTTCGTAGGCAAAGGGGAATTGCCCAGGCAGTTGTTCCTTCAGTAATTGCAGGGCTTAGGGGCAACTTACCATTGAACATTCCCTGATAATAGTGTCCCTATCTATACTCCCATAGCTTCATGGAATTTCCCAGAGCCCATTCCTTGAGGTGGGCACGCCACAGGACTGTACCAAATGAACTTCCAAAGAGCCATAAAAAAACTGAGCAGAATAAAGACCCTGGATGGAATCTCCAGTATCTGTGATCTGTGTTGGTTATGCCTGAGACAGCTTCCAGCATTTGTAAATGGTATACTCTTCTGCAGAATGAGATCATCAGTGGTATCCCACTACTACAGATTGTTATTTACCTTGCATATGAACTACTGCACTTTGAATATGTGATCACTTTGAAAGGAAAGATGTATGCTATACATAATCATGCAGGAATGTGCAGTTGTAGGTTGGACTGTGGTTTTCTGTTAAGCCAGATTGGGAGCAGAGGGAGGAAGGGTGAGGCCTGGAATGCAGCCATTGGCTCCTGAGACTGATTAAATGATGCCCATAGTTGCACTGATCTCTTACTGACTCCTCCTAGTTGGGACCTCACATCTGTCGCTTAGGTTCATTTCTCCCCACTCCTGCATTATTGGCTGTGCTAGAGAGAGTGCCCCATGACCTTGAGTCAGAAGAGGCTTGGCCTCCCACTTGGCCTCAGTGTGACTGAGCCAGTCGCTTCCCTTCTTTAATTTCCTTTTCTGTCAAATAGTGATGACACCTGAACTGTCTACCTCACAGGGTTGTGAGGAAAGTGCTTTGAAAACTTTAAAATGCTATACAAACGTGAGTAGTTATGCCAGGATTTATAAAGTTTATTCTGGAAAGCTAATACTATGTCCACGAAGAAGAGAGATTAGAACTGGCCTTTGAAGTTGGCAAAGTACTAAATGCATTAGCTCATCTAAGCCACCCAGCGGTCCAGGAGGTAGGTATATTGGATTATGTGCCTTTTTTTTGGTGAAGCCATTGGGGTTAAGTGACTTGCCCAGAGTCACACAGCTAGTGAATATTAGGTGTCTGAGGCCGGATTTGAACTCAGATCCTCCTGTCTCCAGGGTCTGTGCTGTATCCACTTCACCACCTAGCTGCCCCATCACATGCCTATTTTACAGAAAAGGAAACAGGTTCAGAAAGATTCAGGGATACTTCACCTTTGGACCTCATGAAACCCTTCCTGATCTGTGGCAGTTCTGATGTTTCTTTCATGGACCTTACTTAATTAGCCTTTTCTCAGCCCCTCTCAAAGCACTTGAGTTCGTGTTGTATTATAGTTCTCTGCATTCTTGGGTCTCCCTGTGGGCTATAAAGGGCTTGAGACGAGAGACTGATTGATTTGTCACCCTAACCTTTTGTCATGATGCTTTGTGTGGTTTTTTTTTCCCCCTTTGGTCTGGATCTGTGATTCTGATGAAACAACTTCTGCAGTACAGATCAATTACCGTTTTGTAACTCAAATCCTTGTCAGGAGGGATTGTTTCACTGATTGTACTTAGGTCCCTAACACCTGTCACAATGCTTCACATATGGTAAGGGCATAATAAAGTGATTAAATAAATGATGTGCTCAGGATCACATAGCCAGTATGTGTTAGAAGTATGCCCTGTCCTAAAAAAGTGCATAATAAATGGCTGGTTGCTTTGTTAGTCCCATTGGATAGATGTGAAGAGAGGCATCCTGACATTACATAAAGAACTGACCTTGAAGTCAGGAAAGCCTGGGTTCCTGCCCCACCTCTGACCCATGCTGCCTGTGACTCTGGGTAAGTCACTTATTCTCTCAGGGTCCCAGGCAAGCCCCTCAGACCATGGAGGAGCTGCAGAGCACTTGTTACACCACATTAGTAAAGGGGCTGTCCTCAATAGAGAGGAGTTGTTGACACCAGGGAAGTCACATGTGGTTCACAAAGATGAGGAACCAGGCCCTAGTGGTTAAGTGACTTGTCTGAATTCCTATAGCTAATAAATGTTGGAACTAGTCTTGTCACCAAGATCTTCTAACTTTGAATTCACACCATGACAACCCGGTGGAGGCAATTACTCCCTTGTCCTCCCTGAGATTTTTCCCCATCTCTCAAATGGGGATGATCTCTCCTGTCTGCCTGGAAGAGGGAAGAAAGAGTGTCCCCTGAACATACATAGGTGATGTTCACTGCTTCAGCCAACAGGATCAGAAAGAGCCAGATGAGAAAGAGAAGTCAAATGATGACTTACTTTTATTAAGAAAGTTCTCTCTAGGACTGCAAGGTTTGCTGCATTTCTCTTTGTATAGGTCAGTCAAATCCTTAGTTCCCCGTCACAGAACCAATGCAGACTAACCCGTCAAGGTCACACATCCATACAGCTTCCCAGACACACCCTGGAGCCAGCAAGTCCAGGAGGCTGATGGTTGGTGACATGCTGAGCCAGCAAAACTGTTGGCAGGCCTGAAAAAAACTGGAGGCACTGCTCCAAAATTGGGAGGGGTCACTAGGCACCTGCTTGGGCTCAATTTCCCCCTGACCCACCATGATTAGCTGGTAACTTTCTTCTGGCTGTGAAGTGAACGGAAGAGCTGCCTCAGCTGTTTCTTTCGATCGTTGTTGCAGCCTGAAATAAAAGCAAGAGTAGGGGTTCTATCAGGACCCCCTGATACTCACTGGCTGGATGACCCGGAGCTGGTAGGGAGAAGAGCAGGGCTGTGGGCAAGCTTCATTTTCCTTATTTGTCAAGTAGAAACATAAACAGCCCACATAGTACTTAAAGGTTTAGAAATGTGCCCCATGAGCTCCTCAGGGTAGAGTACAATCATTACTACCCACATCTGATAGTTGAGAAGACAGGCCTGGAAAGAAGTGGTTTGCCCGTGGAATGTGTTCTAGGTCCAAGACCAGCACTCTTCCCCTGCTCTACCTCATACTATCCTCCCTCGAGGAAATTTCCAGGGAAATGCATTGAAAAGTAAAGCACTAAAGAAGTGTAAGCTGTTAACACCAAATCAAGTTCAAGCTCTTTGACCTGGTTTTTATGGCCCTTCACAGC